TTTGCTTATATTTTCTGATTAAGAACTGGAATGGGTAAAGTAATATTTACTGACATTTAATTCTAATAATGTAATATTTCAAGTAAAAAGTAAAAGAAAAGTTAAAGGAAAGAATAAATTATTGTTGTTAAGATTTGTTTTGTTGTTAAAACTAATTTTATTTTTCCTCTTTGTCGCTCTCCTTAACTTCACAATCTCGCTCTTTTTCTTCCACTTCCTCGGGTTCTTCTTCAATTTTGGGTTCTTTATTAATGTCATCATCTTCGGGGGGTTCTATTTCGGGCAGTTCCTCAATGTTAAGAGAAAAAGGGGGCAAGGGTTCGTTTATCTCTATGGGCGGCGATAATTCTTCCTTTTTGCTTAAATATTGATAGTTTTTTTTCAGTTCTTCGTAATTGTTCGGGGTTGCTTGTTGTTCCTTACTATATTTAAATGGGTCAATATCTTCCACGGCTACAATTTGGCCTTCACTATTCAATAAGTATTCTTTTCAATGGCCTTTAATATCTCGTTGAAGTTGTACTTGTCAGCCTTTTTTTAATTTTCTAGGGTCTAGCATATTTATATAAAAATTGTTCGTGTTGAATAATTACTTGTTGATTATTTAACTTCTAGCATGTTAAGTTAATTTTTGCTTGATTTTGTGTAGCATTTACAGCACCATTTTTTTAATTGCTGGTGGTAATCATTAAAAAGGTGTCGGTGTCCTGCTTTTTTATTACATCTCTCGCAGTGGTAATTTAGTTCGTTTTCTGTTTCCATCTCACTTAGACAATGGGCGGCGGTTAATCGCTCTTTTTATCGCTTTTAATGCTCGCTTTTTATTGTATAATGTTAAGATTTTTATTTTTCCTTCTACCATAATTCTTAAATATTCTATCACGACAGCCATTCCAATATTTAACACAAATATAAGAGTTGGGGATAATATTGCCAATTAGGCCCGTGTTAGATTTTAGTTTCGTTTTCGTTGATTGGCACTTCTCGCACTTCTTCTTTATTAATTGGCTCATGGTTGATTAATTCTTGTCGGTCAGAGTTGGAGAGTTCAGAGGTTCCATTTCTGCTCTCTCTCTCTCTCTCTCTCTCTGCTTGTAAGTTTTCGTTATGTTCTTTTAAATCTCCCAGCGTTAAGTCAACACCAATAAAATCACGGCCTAAATCTTGACAAGCATCCAAGACAATAAAACTTCCAGCACACGGATCAACAATTAAATCTCCTTCTTGGGTTGTCGCATTTATTAAAGTTCTAATTAGATAAAACGGCTTTTGATGCGGGTGTTTCCTTCGCTGGGTTGATAAACTCTCTTCTTTCCAAACATTAGGGAAAGATTTGTCGGTGAACTTTCTACTTGTCTGCGGGTTTTTCTGTAATAATCAAGCATATTCACCACTACTTCTAAAATAACTTCCCAGGCCAATTTTATTTTTATTTCAGACTAGGAAGTCGACCATTTTAAGTTTAGTAGTTCGTAATAATCAATTTTGAACTCTATCCAATTTTAATATTTCCTTACTAATTCACAATAAACAAAATCCGCTCGGTTTTAAAACTCTTTCAATTTGTTTAATAATTTCGGTGATTTGGTTTTCGCTTTGGTAATGTAGCGGTCAATTTTTCACACGGCTCACATCTCCAACTTTTTCATATTGCGGATCAAAAAACGCTAATGCGACACTTTTATCAGGGAGAGATTGAAGGAATTCCAATGCTTCTCCTTCTTGTTTCACATTCTTTAAATATTCTTTGCCATTCATATTTTTAAAATATTATTATATTAATATATATAATATATTTTAGTGTTTTAGAAGAACATCGGGCCATTTTTGGGGGGTCAATATGGACTAATGCTCGGAGAAATAAGGGAAAAAGGTCGGGCCACTCTCTAACTTTTATCCTCTTTTTCAAACCTTACATAGATAACTATTAAAATACTATTATAGGATGAGCGATAAACATAGTCTACGAAATTCCTATCCTTGTAATTTGGTAATTAACAATTGAAAGTTAATCAATTTAGAAATTAGCCAATATTATAAGACAAGACCAGGAAGAGAAATGATTAATGATAAAATGATTATTAAAATGGTGGAAAGTCTAAATCATAAGTGACTTATCCCTGATGCGAAAAAAAATCCTAGTTCGTGAGATTATTTTACTTTAAAGGCTGTTCGCTATGAAGATAAGTTTTATCGTTTAATCTGTTGCCATGAAAATAATTCTTCCATTTGGGGAGTAGTAAATATTTATCCTATTACAATTAAAGATCATGAAAACGAAGTTTCCTAAAAAACTAAAAGTAATTAATAATAATTTTCCTTCGGATAGAGAAATCGAAGAAATTACTAAAAAAGTATCATCACCAAACTATCCCTATTTAAATTATGTTTTACCTGATAATGCTAGTTCAACAGAAAAGGCTAAATATGAACTTTGCCAAGACATATTAAAATATCAGCAAGAAAACAAACTTTCAGAAATAAAATTAGCGAAAAAGTTAGGAGTAAATAAGAAAAAGTTAATTGATATTCTGTGTAGTAAGATTTATTTATTTAATTTGGAAGAGTTATTAACTTACACGGACAACCTACATATCCCTTTTGAAATCAAAATTACTAATAATCAATTAAACAATGGTAAAAGAATAAGAGTTTAATACTCCAATCCTTCAATAATTTTTCTTTTTCCTAAAAATGTTTCCATCCTTTCTTTGGCATTCATATCAGCAAAAAAGAGCATGTCAGTCTCGTAATGCCTTAATAATGACTGTTGAAATACTCGGCCCGCCTCTCCTCGGCGGTCTCACTTGGCTAATTGCTTACTTCTTAATCGCTGTTCGTCGTTGACATAGATTTCGGGCAAATCTCTTAATAATTGCCTATCTCGGGCACTTACTTCTTTACTATTAATATCTATGTAATAGAAATAATTTTGTTTAGAGATGTATTGAATACAATTATTAAAGACATGAATGGGTTGGGCTCCGTTTTTATGTTCGACAATTTTTAAGTCTTCCATTCGCTCAAAGAAATTATCTCAATTGCCTTCCTCGTAATTGTCGAAGTCTTCTTTACTTGTTGCTATTTTCTGTAATTGGAGGGTTTTATTGCCTTTTTTAAGTTCTTTTATTCAAGTCCAATTCAATCATTTTTCTAGGGTCTTCGGTCTATTTTTCCAGTATCATTTAGACAATGCCTCTAATTCCTTTTTAAAATGTTGGACTAAAAATCAGCAAGAATAAAAACTATCATTGGGATTTCCAGTAAAGATTTTTTTAGGTTTAGTTCCACGGCCTAAACTTTTCATAAGTTCCATGTAGTCGCTCGCCTCGTTCATTTCTCATCCTTTTCCTTTTAATATTTGCTTACGGGTTGGCACACACTCATCAAATACGGCTATTTTTACAGGTTGATTAATAAGGGTTCGGGCTTGGTCGCTCGCAAACAAAGAGAAGAAATGGCATCTTAACTCTCCTGCCTTATCTTTTACATTATTCTTTGGTTTGTTCTCCATGTCAAAGTAGTTTGGAAAAGGATTTAGATAGGGGTCGTCCAATCAATTATAGCAGATTTGATTGAAAACAGGTAGAAGCAGAGAAAGGTGCCTTTCCAACCTTTAAAACCCTTACTCTTATAAAGTATGAGGAGCGGAAAGAACAATTGAAAAAGGATGAGAAAACCAAACTACTCCCATAAGTTTTAAAAGTTAGGTTAGTGTAAAATAAAAAGGAGTAAGAAAAAGAATGAAAAAAACGATTAAAATTAGGATATTAGAGAGATAAGAAAATTACAACAAAAATTAGTAAAAAAGATTGGGGTTAAT